AAGTATAAGTGTACATGGAACACCATAACGAAAAGGCTGACACAGTGTCACCTCAGCAGTGGAGGTAGTCTTAGGAACAATCGGTGCTGTGACACCCAAACTTAAAAACATCCCAGGAGCAACCTCACAGACCTTTGTCCAGAAGAGCTCAGTCCTGGGAATAGTTAAGATACTGAACACAACCCTCAAACTCCCAGTACATGTGTGTGTACATGTTTTTCTTACCTAGTGTGGATGATTTTTGATCATTTTCCTGATACACAGAACCTGGTGAGTCCTTATGGGGACAAAAATCTGGTCCCCATTGGGGGAGATACCATTGGTGGGTCGGGGTTCGGTTTAGGACTGACGTGTAAATTGAGTTTAGGGTCAGGTATGCACCTGTGAGGTTAGGTTTAGGRTAAGGGGTCAGGGTTAGGCTATAGAAATGACCGGTAAATGACTGGGAGTCAATGCAAAGTCTCCATGAGGATAGGAAAAACAAACGTGTGTGTGTGTTGTTCGTCTTAGACGTGTACATTAGTGACAGACCTGTTTTTCTTTTTCTACTCCCTCCTGGCCCTGTCTGTTTTTAGAGGCTCACTTCTCTTTACTCATCTCAAAACATGTTAAAATTATATAAATAGATTATTTTTTTAATGAATCTATATTAGTTCCTCTGTATATTTATCCTGTACAGTGAGATGTWTCTTTACTGATTTGTGTTAGAGCCTTAGAATAGTCTTAMATTAAACAGTCTTTTAAATTTCTAACARTTACAAAACTGCACTTCTTGAAATATTTTTAAACATGCAGTGATATCAGTTTAACTTGAACTAAGCTGCTCATCATCAGTCTAGCCCTGCGGTCTACATTTTCTCCAGAACCAGTCTTTGATGCTCTCACCTATGATCCCACTGTCTCTGCTCTCCAGCGTGGAGGTGGGGGAGGCCACACAGGCATGGTTAGAGAAGGCCAGTTTGCTGTTATCGCTGCCCTCCCCCCCGGCAGAAGGCTGCAGTGTGTGGCAGGGGGAGGTGTTGCTACTTGCCAAACTGGAGGTAGGAGAAATTCTCTGTGGGAAAGAGAACAGGGAGCAGTTTATTGCAACCCCAATTCCAATGAAGTTGGGATATTGTATAAAACATGAAAAAAAAAAGAATACAATGATTTGCAAATCCTTTTCAACTTACAATTAGTAGAATAWACTACAAAGACAAGATATTTAATGTTTAAATGATAAATGTTATTGCTTTCTTGCAAA